TTTTTTTTGCGGCTATTCCATATCCATCAAATGCCGAGACCGCGTTTCTTTCTGTTTGCGTAGTTAACGCCGATTCTCTCGCGTAGTTTGCAGAGTTCTTCCAGACGCAGAGAGACTTAAACGTAGTTCCAATTTGCCCGTAGTGTGCGAAAAAAGTATTACTCGAAAGACGAAAATCGTGTTTTACAGCGTCGTTACGGAAAATGCAACAAATTGCACGTAATAACAACGGCATCAGTTTGACAGGCGTGGTCGCCAGCACCGAGCCAGGCCCGTGACGCACCCGGTCTTTATTTAAATCATTCGATCCGTCACGCTATAATCGATTAACGCTAATAGTCGGGAAAATGGACTCGACCGTTGCATCGACGCACCGAGATGCACAATTTCTAGCTACCGCGCCCCTCACGAACCCCCCCCTCGTACACCACGCGCATCCTGCAATTTAATCAACAGCTCAACATTTTTATACATTAATCGAGCTTCCTGTGTACATATTATTTTAGATCGTTATATCGAGATATTGCAAGAGAATTTCCATTTTATCCAATCTCTTCCCTCCGTCTCGCCGTCATTAGGGCACCTTGTAATTTCAAGAAATATTCTCCTAACACTGTGGTACTCTCGGATAAAAAGCCATAATTGCGCGCCGGGTACACAAGATTCACAAGGTATCCAATATATAATTTGCAATATGTTATTAGCGATCAATGCGCACGCTGTTGCTTTCATCCTTCGTATATATATATATATATGTGTATACATATACATACCTCGTACAGGTTCGTTTTCCTAATTATTTCGGACAATAAACCTAATTAAGCAAGGCGAGAAAAAGTGAATTTCGCCAACTTGTTGCTACTAGGAAACTATCTACGTTAACGATGAATTGTTATAGACATAATGTATAGTCAGCAAACATTTTGTATACGAAAATATGTGCAAAAGTCGCATTCGCATTCACACTTTCACAGCAACTTCGTAACGGTAGCCCTTGCACTCCTGCAGGTATTATGCGCTTCTTTCCAATTGAATGATAAATAAAATACGTCGTGCCGACAATACGAAGTAGTTTTCGAACACACAAAAGCATCGATGATTATGTGTATATTAAAATGCAGAAAATCACATGTCGAATAAATTCACCGCGTCTGTTTGTGCGTTCTTACATTTAGGTGCCAATAACGTACCATGACAATGCATATAAATTTATACATTTTACGCCACCGATGAATGGTACCGATACGTAATAGAGAGAACGTCAGCGCATTTACATCACGAGAACGTGCAAAGTGCACGGACAAAATTCGAAAGGGATGCAAAACTAACGGAAATTTATAACACAGTGCACGCAAGTGCAAGCAACTTGCCGCCGCGAGAAAATTTCGAGCTCGGCCACGTTGAATTCCACGCATGTCATATAAAAGTAACTAATGAAACGTAATAGAAGCTTCAACGTGACCGTTCCTCAGAAAAACTCTACGACTGTGTTTGACCCTAAGCTACGAGTTAGTTTTACGTCAATGAATCAAGTCCACAAGAAATTATGAGCATTGTACAAAGTTATTATGCAGTAACATTCGCTTAAGTGACCGAAAGGTGTTGCGCACGATCGCGTTACGAATTATGTTTTTCCATGAAATCGTGTTCTTTATACGACCGTGCATCTTTCCGTTCAAATACTGCGTCGTATCGTCCGTTTAATGTGCCTGCCTCATCGCCGCGCACGTGCCAGGTTCATAACACGACAGACATTACTTTCCACGGAATATTATTCATCCTTTCATCCGATCTAGCTACACAACGCAACGTAACAAAGCGAAACGAACTCGCGACCGAGATCACGCGAGGATGATTATCGATCTATCTGTCGATTGTCTTATCGCGAGACAAACAGCGTGACCGATGCGTTACCGATAAAACTAAACCAAGAAACCGTTGACCTCGACTCTAAATCATCGCGGACTCGATCTCCTTTCGTTAAAAGTACGGAACTTTGCAAGCCGACTGCGTGGTCCGCACGTTCACTGTTTCCACTTTAAGAACGCGGTTGCACCGTCGTGGCACTCCGCTCTTAATTGAAAGGTTACGAAACTTGGCGTTTAGCGAATAAACCGCGCGCTGCCCGACTCCGACAGAACCTTCTGCGCGGACTATACTAGATCATCTGTTACAGATGATGTATCTCCTTCGAGAGATATGACTGTGCATAATCGCGGCAGAGCATGAAAACTTAGATATATCAAACGACGCAAAGAGAAAGAAAAACAAAAAAAGGAAGAAAAAGAAGAAGAACGTCGGCGTTAGCCATTTTACATAATTTCAACGTTACGTAACGTAGCATCTTTATTCGAGTCGTTGAATCGTACGCGAGAGCCGAGTTTAACGCCTCCGACACCGAGTATCGCGTATACGTGTACGCACTTACTCGCCTCTCCTCTTACGTGTATCCCGACGATTTCTGTTTCGCGAAACGTTAAGACAGATCGGCTAGGAATTACACACGCCAGCCGGTGCATAGCTGATTTCCGTGTATCAGCGTATACCCGCGAACCTACACCTACATGTAGGCCTCCAGTCGGGCTTATGTACACGCCTCTATAAGTTTATGAATGGAACAGCACGCGTGCGCGACGACTGGAACAGTTTAAGCCGGCAGCGAAAGTGACCTGCTCTAACTTGTACCTGCTCCAATGCACGACGTGTACACACTAGCGTGTACACGCACACGCTAGAGGCGTAAGAAACTGCCTTGGATAATTGCAGCGAGCAGCTAACCGCTCTCGCGGTGGACGCGAGAATGCACCGCTGCCGTTAGTGTGAAACGCACCGGGGTAGAGGGAGGAGGATGCCGCGAATGGTAGTCGGGCAATTTCGAGCGATTCAAGCCGCAAAACTGTGATATTTTTGTGGGAGATTTTTACGTAGAAAATGGCCATCTACCATCGATGTGTCTACAGTCCGGTGTCGGATGTATACGGTGCCTAAGTGTGTAAGTTCTACTTAATAAGTATCTTGGAATCTGGCGGTACGTAGAATGCTATAAAGAAGCTGGCTACGGCGGATCGTTACGGCAGCCGTATCTACAAAATTATTTTTAACCGATCGCGATTATTTATGCGCAGTAGAAATCATAGACATCGTTCCCGATAATGAGTAGAAAGTTACGAGTTTTTAGCGTTAATAAGGTAAACACGGGATCGAGAAGAGATACGACTTTCTCGCGAGTGATGCCCGAACCGAACTTACATGGTTCGATATGGTTGATCGAAAAATGAAATAAAACGCATCGCCGTTTAGCGGTGGCGCGGAAATTCGTCGCGAATTTTTCTCATGTCGACGAGGAGAAAAAAAAGTCTCGCATTCCTTAGATTTCGCCGATCGTAGAAGCAACGTGGCTTTTCACAATCGGTGGCAATGTTCGACTCACCGATTCGGGACTATTATTTCAACGACGCACACAGAGGTTCTGTTACGGCACATTGTAAAGTTTAGCGGCTATAAAGATACACACGGTTGCGTTTCTTTTTTTTTTTCCTTGCTCCCCCGCTAAAGCCACTCGCTACGTTTCTCGTATAACTGTTATGTCGAAATAGATATCTGCATGGAACTCGGCCAGTTGTACTACCGGTGCAAATAATTGTGTTATACCGAGACATGTTAGATAATGATCGGTACAGATCAGTCGTATCCGCGTGTGAACGAAAGCACATGTACCATTACCAAGACATTACCTTATCTGGCCTTCCCTCCTTTCGCCTTGAAAACTATCACAGCAGTTCGCCCGTGCAGATACATATTCCAGACAAATGCTAGATGTAGCTACTATCGCTCGAACAAAAAAAAAAAAAAAGAGAGAGAGAGAACGAATGTAGCAGCGAGTATATTCAATTACACACACAAGCGATGTATTTCATACATATAAATATCGAATCGTAGGCAACCAAGGCAATTCCGAACGCGTCGAGTTCTCCTTAATACAAAATTACGCGGTAGACCGCGTTATCGCACGAGTATGAGATAACAAAACGCGAATGCTTCCGACTGCTAAATTGCAGTCATTTAAAATTTCACGAGTAACGGAACGAAAACCTATCAAACGTGCTTTGGGATCCGCCATTGATCACAATTACTTCTGTCTTTAGTA